CACATAAGCAAAAAATAAAAATCAACCATTAGTTACAGTAACTAATTTGCATGGAACAAATGCCAGAGACCATGTGAAATGCACTTGTTATGCTCATGGATGATGAAACCAGGTTACATCTTTGTACTGGAATAGTGAGACGCAGTGTAACATCCAAACAGAAGACAGAATTAACAATTTTTCCTCTCTTAAATCAGGAAACATTTAGTCAAACTTAAAACGATACATTTTCAAGACAAGCTTTTTTAAAAATTAATTTTAAGAATCTTATCACCATAGAATTTCTTGAGCAATTTGCTCTGAAAACTTTGTCTTCTCTGTTTCTCACAGAGGGAAATTTGCTCCACAATGCAAAAATTGCCAAAAGTTTGACATTTTTTTAAACTAGTTAGTTACCTGCTAACTAGAAGATATAATTGTTGATTTGAATGTTATAGAAAATTGGTTTTTATGCTAGAACTAGCATATGTATATTTCCAGTGTTTTTTCTGTAACAATTATTCATACTGTAAAAGTTTTAAAATTCTAATGTCAAAGGAATGGGCTGATCTGGATGATTGATGCCAAATCTGCCTTAAAATGATATTCTGGTTAATATCTGTGCTGTCAATAATTCAAGTTACTGGCTTTCACTGCTGTATTGCTGTTTGATTTGTATCATAGAGAGTTTCTAGATTTTCCTTATGACATCAGCCGGATGGGGCTTTGGAAACAAAAAAATGTGGCAAATACATGCGTTATACCATGTTTGAACACAATCTTTTATTTCAAGTGAAGCAGAAATGATCATTCAAAAAATAAACTGACATACTTTCATTACATTTGCTTGTCTTATACTCTCTCCTCCAAACCGAAATGAATCTTCTCTTCTGACTCCAGCAGTTTTCTAAACAATCATCAGGAGATGCACATTGATCGTTACATTTTTTCCCGTTCAGAAGATACATTATATTCACACAGTATTTTGTCTAACCATTGTGACAAAGCAGACACTTGCCCATTATCAGTGGACGAGTCCCATCACTTAGTTTTGAACTTAAGCACCCCAATATCAGTTCACAGCCATGAAATAATTTTAACATTTTTTATTAGAAAACTTCTTTTCAGCTTGGAGGAAATAGACCAAATTGCAAATGAGGGTGGAGCAATAGTTGACTTGTGTGACAGTGATAGACCTACTGATGTTGTACAAGGACAGAACCCTGGAGTTCTTATCTGGAATCCACTGCTGCTTCAATGGGAAATTACAAACATGTCAAGGTATTATTAGCATCTCATGACAGCCACAGTACTTTATCATTATATAAAATAATTCTTCTTCACCTCTGAAGTTCCATTCCCCTAATTTAAATAGTCTACTATACTGCCAAAACCTAATAAATAAAACATACGCACCAATATCAAAATCCCTCCAGTGCAAATGATGACAACTGACGCATTGTAGTGAAAGTTTTTTTTATTGGTTTCTCCCTTCCCCAATCAGAAACACACTTTTCCAGATTTAGGCAAACTTGAGTTTTAAAAATTAAAACACACCTTAATGATAAAACTCAACTGCAAAATAAAATCTAGCTCCATTCTCATACCCTTAACCTTTTATTTCCTGTTCTTTAAAGAGAAGGAAAAAATAAATAAATCTATCCTGGCCACAGATACCCATTTTCAAAACAAAACAAGTTCTAAATCAAAGTGGTGCCCTGCTTGATAATTTTATAGTTTGATTTATCAAAATATATTTCTTTTAAATTCTTAAGGTACATTTAAAACGTTTCAGGATCTGGTTATTTGAAATTTTGCAATGTTTTTTGTTTTTTTTTCTCAAAGCTAAGCACAATCCACGCATCCAGTCTGAATATATCTGAATCAAAATTTGTGGAATCCTTGGTTCTTGGCAATCTGCAAAAAAAAAAAGTAAAATTTTAATATCTGCCTCCTCTCCAACTGGAACGTTCCAACGAATGAATCTGATACCGCCCCTAACCACATGTATCACTGTTACTATATAAAATACCCATGTTGTCAGTTAGAAATGATTGTAAAAGAATTAGCTGCAAGGTGAAGTACTTTTACTTCAGTGTTTGCAGTGAAAAAGTCAAATAATTGAAATGTTTGAAGCCTCAACAAGTTGCAGTATAAGTTAATACATTTTTATTTGATACCGACTAATTATCACAAACTGCAATAGGTAACCAGCATTTTCGATTTACCAGAACCAGCTAATTGCTGTGTGTCATATAACAGGCATATTACTGAAACTTGTAACTGCAGGTCAAACAATGTTAATAATTTTAAGTTGATAATACTGACTGAATCCAAAGTAAAATACCAGTTAGTAAACCAGTTGTTTGCAACTTTGTTTTGCTGCCAGTACAGACACAGTGGGCTAAACGGCTTCCTTCTATAAAATTCTATACATATCGTGTTTTTTCTCTCACAGTAATAGCACGGCATTATAGTGAAATCTTTTTGAAAGACTATGTTTAATGAACACGCTATTTTTGAAGGGGTCTAACAGAGGTACACTTTGAATATATACAACTTTCCTAGCAAAATTCACTAACATTTTACCAAAGCAAAATACTGGAAATCTGAAAAAAATAGAAAATGCTGGTAGCACTTCCAAAACATCCATTCTGTTTCCCCCAGAATTATTTCCAATAGTTTCTAGTGTTTAATAATACTTCCATAATTTAATAATAATACTTCCGTTGTTCATCGATCCACAGCATTGGTCATGAACTGGTTCATGTATTACCACTTTTGCCACTCAGTAGTTTTTAGATTGGAATCCTGCATGTTATGCACAGAAACCCAGAAGCAGGAGCAGGCCATTCAGCCCCTTGATGCTTCTCCACCATTCTAGACCATGGATGATCATCAACCTCAACACCATCCTCATAAGCTTTGATGTCAATTGGTCTAGAAACTTATTAATCTCTATCTTAAGCATACTCAGCATCGAGCTTTCATTACCCTTTGGGGTTGAAAATTCCAAAGATCAGAAAAGCCTCTTCATCTCATTTCTAAATGGCTTGCTCCTTATTCTGCGATGGAGTCCCCTGGTGTAAAATTCAGAGCCAGCCAGAGGAAACATTCTTTCTGCATCCACCCTGTAAGTTTCTATGAAGTCACCTCTCATTCTTCAAAATTCTAGAGAACCTTCCTCATGGAACAGTCTTGCCATCCCAGGAATTAGTCTGGTGAACATCCACTGCTTCTCTCTTGCAAGTAAATCCTCCTTCAGGAAGGGTACCAAAAGTGCACATCATATTCCAAATGTAGTCTAAAACTGAAAGAAGACAGCTTTGCTCCTGGACTGAAATCCTCTTGCAATGAAGACCAACATACCATTTGCCTTCCAAACTGTTTGCATACTCTTGTGCTAGCCATCAATACCTAGTCCCTTTGGACAATCTCTCACCATTTAAGAAATATTCTGCATTTCGAGTCCTTCGACCAGAGCGAACCATCTCACACTTATTTATGTTATATTCCATCTGCCATTTCTTGATCACTCACTCTGCAAATGCAAAGCTACTTGCAGCCTCTTTGAAACCTCCTCAAACTCACATTTGTAAATAGTTTGTGTCATCTATGAAAACTTGGAAATTAATATATCATTGAATTAGTGTAACTGAGCAGTCTCTTGGAGTGAAGACTGATGTAAAGTAGAAATTTAGTATCTTTGTCATGCCCTGAAAACTCACCTGAAGTGAGCAGCAGAAATTGTTCAACAGCACTAAGCAATCCTTAATTGCACTAACATCTAAAGAAGCTAAAAATGTTTTTATCATTGCTACTGCAAATCTCTGTCTTCACCAATAGCCTACTTTGACAGCAGGTCCTAGTGTCTTACAACTCAATACTGATCCCTTTTCTCCTGAGAACTACGTTTATTTAACCGTACGAGTATTTGTGGTCAAGTCTGACTTGTCCTTGCAAAGGACCATTTAGCCACTTCAGCTTGTTTTACCATGACCTCCTTTTCCTTGGGAATACCCAGACTTTGTTTTCATTAGTATGGTTTTAAACCCATTCTTTTTTTCTCTCTTGGGGGTCATAACCCTGCTTTTGTAGGACAATCCTTGTCCATCTTTTCAAAATATAGCTCTTGAAATATTGGACTAGCATTAAATCCTTGGTGACTTTGTTTCATCTGATGAGTTGAATTTAATAATATTCTAGTCAGTTTTGCACAAATAATCCCCCAGAGGTCTGTTACTGTATCAAGTAACCGACATCAAGTGTTAGAAGAGTCATTTAGATATGTCTACAAATCTTTCAGCTGTAATCCCCTTAACGTTGGATTGCTCACCATCGACCACTCAGTGCTTGAACTCACCCTCCCCCATACAGCGTTAATTCTAAGACGACGCCCTCCAATGAATCTGGAAATAGTGTCACATTTAAAGAAATTTTTTTTACATTTTGATCTAGGAATTGTCACAAATACTTCAGCAAAAGAAAAACATAACTTAGATTCTGACCCTGCTGGAAACAGTTTGCATAAATTAGCAACAAAGAACAAATACTTTAATCTGATTAGTACATTTGTTGCAGTTCCCTTCCTCTTGGGTGGGCACCTATGATATATATTGTCTGATGGCATTGGACCAACTCCCACTTTTCTGGTCCTGTTCAAAATAGAGTAATTTTGCTCAGTTCTCTATAAACTATGGGCCCCTTGTCCTGGAAGACTATTAAAAAATGTCATTGTCATACAGCACGGAAAAAGACCCTGCTGTCCAACTAGTCCACGTTGACCATGTTCCCAACTAAAGTAGTCCCATTTGCCTGCATTTGGCCCATTTCCCTCCAAACCTTTCCTATTCATGTACTTATCCAAATGTCTTTTAGATGTTGTAACTGTACGTGTATCCACTACATCCTCTGGCAGTTCATTCCACACATGAACCACTCACAGTAAAAAAAAAGTTGCCCCATGTCCTTTTTAAAACTTTCTCCTCCTTACCTTAAAAGTATGCCCCCTAGTTTTGAACTCCCTCACCCTAGGGAAAAGATGCTTGCAATTCACCTTCTCTCTGCCCCTCATGATTTTATAAGCCTCAATAAGGTCACCCCTCAACCTCCTACCTTCCAGTGAAAAAAGTCCCAGCCTATCCATAGAATTCAAACCCTCCATTCTTGGCAACAACCGGGTAAATCTTTTCTAGACCCTCTCCAATTTAATAATATCCTTCCTATAACAGGATGACCAGAACTGCACACAGTACTCCAGAAGAGACCCCATTAACATCCTGTACAACCTCTACATGACGTCCCAACTCCTATACTCAAAGATCTGAGTAATGAAAGCAAGTGTGCTAAACACCTTTTTAACCACCCTGTCTAGCAGTGACGCAAATTTCAAAGAATTATGTACCTGAACCCTTAGGTTTCTCTGTTCTACACGATCCAGGGCCTTAACATAAATTGTCTAATTCTTGCCTTTGTTTGTTTTACCAAAATGCGACATCTCGCATTTATCCAAATTAAACTTCATCTGCCATTCCTCAGTCCATTGAACCAACTGATCAAGATCTCTTTGTAATCTTAGATAACCTTCTTCACTGTCCACTATACCACCAATTTTGGTGTCATCCACAAACTTACTAATCATGCCTCCTATATTCTCATCCAGATTGTTTATATAAATGACCAACAAAAGTAGACCCAGTACCAATCCCTGTGGAACACCACTGGTCACAGGCCTCCAGTCTGAAAAACAACTCTCCACCACCACCCTCTGTCTCCTACTGTCAAATCAATTTTGTATTCAATTGGCAAGCTCACCCTGAATCCCATGTATCTATGGGATCCACCCCACCAATTAAACAATAGTCACCAAAAATTGACCTATACTGGAGGTCAATTAATGAGTCTAACTCTTACCATTGTACATCTCATTCCCAAATTAGGATGTAGCTACAACCACAGCTGCCTTTTGGGCAGCCTCTTTCTTGGCTTGATGGGCTTGTAGCACGGCCACAGCTTCTTCAACCTGCAGAAGACAGATTGCATATATACACAAATCACTATACAAAGTGTGCAGGCAGCATTCCATTAAATAACGTTTCTCAATATCTTTGATAAAGTTGTTAGATATCTTTCTTTGAAATTTCACTTGCATGAAGAAGTTCATGTCTTCAAAAGTCAAAACTAGTTGAATATTGCTAGGTACTGGGCTTTCACATTCCAACTTCCAATACGTGTCCTGGAGAACCCAAACAAGTATAAATTTTGTTTATTCTGTTCAAGAATCACCCTCCAATTCTGCTATCATCAATGGAATAGCCCACAACCAATAATAAAGATCTGAAGATGGGCATCCACAGGAACAAGCAAATCGTGAGTCTGCTTTAAAATCCAGAAAGATGGGAGTACTTTATATTGAAAAACATTTTCATCTGTCCACACAGCCCTGGCAATGTCCTGTATTTTTGAAATTATAGCAGCCATTTGGATGTTAAAACTAGTTTTTACCAACTGCCACATAATAATTAATCTGAATCAGTATACCTTTGACCGGAGTGATTCTGGGGACTCCAACATGTGTAGCAGCTCGGAGTTATCTATCTCTAGGAGCATTCCAGTGATCTTTCCAGCCAAGGAAGGGTGCATACTCTGGATCAAGGGGAACAGACGTTCACCTGAAAATGGAACAAAACAGGATTTAGGCTGTCACTGAACTGAAATCAACAGTAGATAATTGAGGGGTCAACGCATGCTTACCAATCACTTTGCATTTATATTAAACGATCCAGCACTTTTGATTTTCAATGATGCCTTGATATTTGACAACTCAAAGCTATGCCTATTACTTGGTTCATTTTTATTGCAGTCATGTGGCAGATGGGCTTCAGATTTCACTTACCCAGCATCTGCTTCTGTTCCTGAGGAGGGGCTGCAGCAAGCATGGAGGCAGTCAGAGGTTCCTGTCCTTGTACAAGCACTGCAGATTGAGAAGGCTTAAAAACCATAGTGATTAGTTAGTTAAATGGTCTCTCTCTTGTCCCCACCACCAGGAGCATTCAATTACCAAAAGTTAGATATGGCACTAGCCAATTTCCATTTTGCAACTCTTGTACCAATCACCATGAGAGTGTGCTAGATTAATTTATTTTTAAATTGATTTATGGAACGTGGGCCTACATTTACTACCTTTCCCAAATTGCCGCTGAGAAGGTGGCGACGTGGACAAACTCTCCTCCAGTTTTCCTAAGACACAAGGGTTACATCTGTTGGTGATTTTCCTTGATAGGTAGCAGTTAGATAACATCTGTTTCCTGAAGATTGGCACATTTTGTCAGCATTAAGGTTCACATGTATTCTCTCACATCTACAAATTATGGAATTCATTAAATTAACTATGCTTGTGCTTCTATTTGAACTTATGATTAGAATGAAAGATAATCTTTTAAATTATTCATTTATAGGATGTGGGCATTGTTGCCTGGGCAAGCATTTATTGCCTGTCCCTAGATGCCTTCCTGAACCGCTGCAGTCCATCTACTATGCTTCTACCCACAATTCCACAAGGAAGGGAGTTCTAAGATTTCAACAGGTGACACTGAAGGAATGGCACTATATTTCCAAGTCAGAATGGTGAGTGGCTTGGAAGGTAATTTTGCAGGTGGTGGTATTCCCATATATCTGCTGCCCTTATCCTTTTAGATGTTAGTGGTTGTGGGTTTGGAAATTATGTCTACCAAGCCTTAGTGAATTTCTGTAGCATATCTTGTAGATGGCACACACTTCTGCTACTGAGCATCGGTGGTGGAGAAGTAAACATTTCTGGATATGTTGCCAATCAAGCAGGCTTCTTTGTTGTGGGGGATGGCAAATTCTGAAGTACAGGCTTCAGTACTATTGCTGGATTGATGTAATCTTTACAGTATCCAGTGCCTCAACTGTTTCTTGATATCACATGGAGCGAATTGAATTGGCTGAAGACTGGCATCTGTGTTGCTGGGGAGCTCTGAAGGGGGCCGAGATAGATCATCCACTTGGCACTTCTTGCTGATGGTTTATGCTAATTATTGAGCCTTATCTTTTGCAGTAATGTGCTCGACTTCCCCATCATTGAACATAAGTATGTTTGTGAAGCACTCTTCTTCAGTGAATTGTTTAATTGTACACCACCATTCACAGCTAGATTTGGCAGGACTGCAGAACTTAAATCTGATCCATTGGTTGTGAAATCACTTCATTCTTTCTACCAATTGCTATTTATATTGTTTCGCCTGCAAGTAGTCCTGTTTTGTAGTTCACCAAGTTAGCATTTTATTTTAAGATATAGCTGGTGCTACTCCTGATATGCCCTCCTGCATTCTTCGCTCAATTATTTTTAGAAATCCTGGTTTTCAGTTTGTTAAATAGCTACATTGCATCAGTGACCAAATGCAAATAGATTAGACTAGACTAGATTAGATTATCCTAGAGATAACAAGGTGTAGAGCTGGATGAACACAGCAGGCCAAGCAGCATCAGAGGAGCAGGAAGGCTGACGTTT